GATAATTTCCCTCGCCAACTTTCGTAATCGCTCCCGACACTTCTAACCTTTTCAACTCCATTTCCAACCAACACTCCTCCTCCTTCGTAAAATGATAGGGCCTTGGGTCCGGGCAAACCGACAGACGTACTAAACTTCTTGGAAACAAAGGTATCCCTTCCTTTAACCATTTCAACACCAACTGAGAAGGCCGAATCACCTCCTTCCAATACTTCACCGCCGCACAACCGTGAATACTCCCGGTTACCCACTCCCCCGAAACCGCCACCTTTTCCTTCAACACCGCCCGGGCGTAGTCAGCTATTTCCCGGCTGGGATTTATCACCTCGAAAGGGCAACCCCAAGTACTTTCTAGAACCACACTCATTAGCGAAATGGCCCTTTCCTTCACATAGGTAACAAACAACTTCTTTTCCTTTCGACCCTCTATACCTATCATCTCTTTTGGGCCAAAAGGGCGAAGAGGAGTAAGACTGTTGCCGGACTAAGGGGGGCATACCAACATTTGAATTAGAGTGCTGTTGGTGATGTCTCCCATCTTGCACAAACTGAGGGCCTACTTGAACTGGTTGAGCAGGTAGGGGCACAAATCCTCCGAATTGACCTTGCGGAACTGCCTGCTGGTTCAAAACTTGTTGACCGAACCCCGGCTGCTGCAAAAAAGGCTGCATTGGTGTGAACTGCGCCAAGGGAACATTGCTTAATTGAAACACAGGGGCCTGTGTTTGTGCCTGAGTTTGCTCCCCACGAGGCTGGTAAGCTGATCTCGACTTCTTGGGCTTCGTAAAATGCTGGGCCGCCAACCTGGCCCTCTCACGCTTACTACCCAGCAATTCCGACATCAAATCCGAAGCATCCTCGGAAACCATCTTTGACGCAACGTTCCAACCATCTTCATCGGCTACCCTCACCACATACGCCCTCTCCAACACCACTTGCCTCGCCATACGAACAAAAGTCGCATCCACAGACATCAAAGCCTTGTCGAGCAGAGTGCCTATTCTGCACAATTCATTGTACTCAAACTGGTTACGCTGCTTCGTCAACTCTCGCTTCTCCCAAAGGCTCTTACGGTCCATGTCATCCAACATCAAGGCATCTAAATCAGCCGTCCAACTCGGAGCCCTTTTAAGATAAGGTCCGTTCTGAGTCGGATCCGGGCCTAAACCGGCTGTCTCCCAAAATTGCCGTGAGAGTTTTCGGCCGTTGCCCTTAACTGTTGTGGCCCATCACCTACCCCCTGAAACACATCCAACTCGTCCAAAAACCCTTCGGTCCGATTCTGAGGGGTCTGTAGATGCACGCTCTTTTCCTTACCAAGAGGCTCAGGATCACCGACAGTCACTTCCGGTCCCAACCGGGCCTTACTTTCTTTAGCCAACCTAGCCACAACCTCTTTTTTCGGTCCCAAATCCGAAATACCCATCCCCCTACAGACCACTCTTAACGCCTCCAGTGACAAACGCTCAAAATTCGACTCTAGACTCGCCTGCGCCGTGTCGAGCTGCGCCGAAACGTCGTTCAAACCAACCGGGTCCGATTCCTTAACCGTCGACATAAGTGCAACAATGAAAGCTAAGAAATCAAATAACTTTCCACACGAAAAAGGTTATTACTTTATGTAAAACTAACTTAATCGTTTATTTCGTAAAGATAAAAATTTACTTCCAAGTAAAAGGTAAAAAGGTAAAAAGGTAAAACGTAAAAACAGGTATAGCGTAGAACAGGTAAAGCGTAAAACAGGTATAGCACGAAAAAACCAGACAAAGTCGGGTTAGCAGAAAAAACAGAAGATACCTTTCGTGGGAAAAAATCAGTTCCCTCTAAATACTACTACCGATTACTAATCGCAATTACTACGTCAAAACGTCAAACAATACGAATCATACGACAAATCACGATAATGTATCAATCGAAATCATACAAAAAATCACTGCGAAGCATCAAATGACGTAAATCACATGTCAAATCACGGTACCCGGCTAAACATACACCCGTGATCGATTCGAGACAAAATGCTGCTCCGATACTTTCGTATCGGGCAGCTAATTACCGTATTGTCGCGAAATAACGAGCAGGGGTGAAATTACAAATTTCGGCCTAAATTAAGCTTAATTCGGGCTAAACCTTTAAATAACGCCCATGACCGTTATTTCGCGACAATACGGTAGTTAAATTTTTGTGCCTGCGCGCCCATGATTTTACTTATTTGCGCGGGTAAAACAAAAAAGGAAATCGAATTTTGTGAATAAACTAAGTGCGTAAAATTAGAAGTTTAGGATTAGGACGTTAGGGTTGTGAGCTTCAGTGAAAAGTCGAAATTTCTTATATGAAAGAAAAAAGGAAAAGAAAGCGAAAATACTCAAAGACTAGTGTTTAAATCGACCTTGGCGAAATAGCGGGTATGAAATTTGGCCATTTCCTTTTTAGAGGTTTGTATTACCCGCGCAAATAAGTGGTTGCCCATGCCTATGCCGTGCCTATGCTTTCTATAGGATAAATAAAGGGACTACAGAAAAATCGATTGTCACACGTCGTGATTATTAAAAAGAATTTGATTCTTCATAAATTATTGAATGTGACAATTAAGCATCACCTATTTTTAGTCCCATCACTAATCGGTCTAAAGATATATATATTTCGATACCAAACTATCGGATATCCTCCTTCCGTTATACTACAATCCACATTCGTCTCAAGCACTAATAATTCCCTTCTCGTGTGCCCTTTTTTATATTAAGGCCCACGTTAATTCCTTGTCTTTTCTTTGTGGTCATGTGTGTTATTAGAACTTTGATAATTAAATGCTTCGTATTCATGCGCCCAATGGGTAACCGCATGATTGCTAAATTTCTTAAATAAGTAGATAAGGTGGATGATTCAGAATTAATGTTGATTTCGAATTAAATTAGTGACATAAATTTTTTTTTTTATATGATAATATATCATCAGAAAAATACATCTTGTTTCGGAATTTCAAAAACAGAATGGAAAATTCCATTTATTTTCAAAATAAGTTAATTCTGAATCACTCTAATATGAGAATGATGCTCTATTCTCATTCGCGTATTTAATATCGTATGATTATCAACAGTCCGAATAACTATATATGGCGATAAATAAAATTTGTATGAAGATATAAAATAGGATATAAACACAATGTACGTACCGGAACGTCTAAATAAACAAAAATAAAGAAATAAAGGAAATAAGGGAGGATCATCGAATTCGAACTGTGCAAGGGTATTAAGGTAGGGATGTTAACAGTCCGATCTGGTTCATCTGGTCAATTTTGGTCCAAGTCTAGTCTGGTCTATTATGGTCTTCAGTCTTAAGACTTTGCGATAAAAGTACTGATTTGCGGCAAACAATACCCCCTTGTTAGCGTACCTCTCACGATTTGTACCCGGGATTAAATCAAGTATATTAGTAAACATGATTGTAAAAGACCCGGGTATATCTGAAACATTGCGTCCAAGTATTTCGCGTTTACCACGATAGAATAATATTAGCAGGGAGATTTTATGATAAAATTTTGCTTGTAACTTTTTATCTACTCAATCAATTTTACCGATCTTATTACCACTAGAACCACAAAAGCTAGCTCTATAACTTTTATTAGAAGTCCATAGAAGGTTAGCTTAATAAATTTTGTCTTTATAGTAAGGAATGACAATTTATATTTTATATATATTATTAATAGGATTACTATAAGAATTTATTAACAACATTCATCTTCTTTCGTGAACTATAAATTAAATGATTGGTTCATAAACACCCCATATAAGAAAAAACATCAAGTTTTAAGTTTATTGTTTGCCAGACTTAGGAATTGTGTTTTGGCATATATAAATTTAAAACCCAGATAGAAAAATGTGCATATAATGTAACTCTAAAAATTTTACTATATAGATAGAGATGTACCTCGCGCGCGAAGTGTGAGGTGACTTCATCTCTAATCACTATGGTTTTCTCAATTAAAATTACTTCGCGTGAAATATGATGCAATATTGTGCGAAAATGATATCATCATCTTCTGCGAGGTGTTGTACATCTCTATATATAGATCTTAACAAATAAATTTATATCAGGTAAAACCCGCTTTGATCACAGGGTTAGAGTGAAATCCGCGTTAACAGTATTTTTTATATGTAAACGCGAATCTCACCCTCATGTGATCTGCACAGCGGATCTAACCACGGTTTCACATTGTCGTATAAATTTATTCAATGGATTGACGGTATAGTACTACTTTACTAAACATATATTGTCTTTCGCTACGCTCCGGACAATTAAGATTTATCAAAAGCTTTCGGTTATTAAAATGCGTAGAAATATGTATCTCCCAATTCGCCCTAAGCAATAAGTTCGTTGTATCCAGTGTTCTGAACATTAAGTTCATTATAGCCAGAGTTCAGGTTTGATATAGAGAGACGGCTTAACGTTTTTCAGTAGCTATAAAAAAATTGTAGTTTTTTAAAGTTCTTATGTTGATGTGTATTAAAAATAAAATTTCAATTAATTAGTTTAATAACCGCATTTAAAATTATCTAATTAAGTGCAATTTTAATTTATAATGAAATAAAAAAATACATAAATAATAATACATATGTAAGTACAGTACATGAAAAAAGGTATATTTGGATAGTAGCGATTAGGAATTAATAGCAGACAGTTGCAAACCTAATCAAAGAGCTTGCAGTTGATTGTACGTTACTGAAAACTCCTTTTCATAATAAAATCAACTGATAGATAATAAACTTGCATATGTTTTTGTTGGTGTTTTTTTTTTTATATATATACACAACCGCACCATCGGGACATGTTCCATATAGGGAATGTGTTCTATATGGAGAATGTACTTAGAAAATGCATATATAGAGAATTCTTTTATCTATTTAATAGTAGTTGGTTCAAAAAATAAATGTGCTTATAAACTATTGTACATCTATAGGCGCTTATATGGGTGTGCGACTGTAGTATCAACATAAATCGTTACTCTAACCATCGTTTAGCTCTTTAAACATTATAACTTTTACAAAATTGCCATATGTGACAGCTAATCCGTCTTCACCCACTTTGACAATTCGTCGTATACGAGAAAATGGTAGCATCTCGTTCATTTCATCTTCCTCTTTAAATGAATTTCGATCATTGTGACTTTTGTTTGGATAAACACGCTGCTTCTGACTTCGCAGCCTAAAATCCATAACTTGTCCTTGTTCATAGTCCTCTTCATTGTGAATATGTGAATGATTTTCATTTTGATCATCTGAATGAGATGAATTTAAGGGATAGTTCTTATTTGCCATCGAAACAACTTTACGTCGCCCAACAAATCCTTTTAATTTCTCCATATTTTCTCGGTCATGTTTATATATTTCTTTCTTCTTTTTTTGTTGTTCTTCCATTATCAAATCATTGTCGTTAACCAATGGAATAGTTTTAACTCTAAATTCATCATCGTGATTTTCTGAATCATCAACTTCTTCGGTTGGCTCAAATACATTAGGGTCGTTAATATCAAGAGTCCAAACTTCCCATTCACCTTCAGCACCATGACTCCTTTTTATGGAGAAATTTGGTTTCGTAACACGACGAACTCCAATTATATGTCCTTTAAGAAGCACAATCACTGAACTACCGGGTTGTCTTATATGTCCAAGAAAAACTTTTTGAAGTCGTTCTGAGGTATCTACATTATCGGTATAATTAAGAGGAGGTTCTTCTAGTTGGGATGTCATGCACGTACAATCCACAAAATTTCGGGTTAATTGCCAAAAATTTACTTTTTCATCAAATGACGAAGTTATTATTGAAAACCCTTTACACTCTTCAATATCACCACATAAACAACTTTCTTCTTTAAGTGGATGAATTATAATACTTGTAATTGCATCCTGGTGTGATGAATCAAAACTTTCGCTTTCATCCCAAAATTCATCCTCATCTTCGTCTTCTTCAAACCAATCCTGTTCTGAAGAGAAAGCTTTGAATTTTTTCTTTCGTTTTTGGAACAATAATTGCTCTTTATGTTCTCTTGCAAGTTTCTGTTTTCCTGAAGTTCCATAACTTAATGTTTCTATAAATTGGCCTGTAACGTAATCATATACTCTAACTTCTCCATCCGCAGCTCCGGTAACCACAACACCAAAACTATCCTTTTTAGTTTTGATTACTTTAGCACCTATACTAGTAATTGCGTTTCCAGGTTCTCCACGCAATGTATAAAGCAATTTCCACGCATTATTACGTATTTCTTTACGCTCGTCGTCTAAATCAATTATACGAATCCAGCATTTGACAGACCCGTCCCGTGCTCCAGTAAAAATATGTATCCCATCTTGATCATCGTCAACTACTAAGAGATAACTGATACCACCTTTTTGATGTGTGAAAACTGTGTGAGAAATTTGACCAGAAGTAAGATCCCATTCTCGAAAATAACCATTTCGGTAAGTTGCAAAAAGTGTGGCAGGTGCTTTTCGATTCGATAATTGTTTAGACTTTTTATCTGATACTATAATTTGTAAACATGTAACCCGTTCGTTTACTGATTTATCATTATTAACTGCCGACATTATTTGTTCGACATCTTCAACAGTATCTTTCAAGATATAATTAACTTGACCTGTATTTACATCCCATACTCGCACCACTCCGTCTTCAAAACCAGCTGCAGCAGTTTTTTCACTCACGCACATAGCTCTAACCGGCCAAGAAATACAGGATTTCATCCCTCCAGTACTATCACATTTACAAGTTTCACATCGACGCATATATCTTTCAAGTTTTCTTAATGGTGTACCTTGCATTCCATTCCATGCTGTAATATGTTTGTCAGTAGCACTTGTAATTATAACGCCATTAAGGTTTGCACAAAGTAAATCAACATCGGCTAAATGACGACCACGTAAAGTTATAATTAGAGGAGTGGTGGCGTACAAACTAGAACTTCCGGAAGGCTGAGATGTGAGTATATTTTTATATTCATTACTACTTGTTTTTTCTAAGATTCGAATTACTAGTTTCTCTGGTGATGAGAAACCCATCAGGATAGGCGTAGTAAATATTACACCAATAATAGGAAGTATAATGAACTTGAGAAACCAAACAAAAGTTTTTATAATTAATCTCCAATTTATACCATCATTGAATGGATAATGTATATCATCTTGTTCAATATCATAAGACAAAGTCAAATGTCTAGTAGGCAAAATTTCAACAATTTGATTTTTTTTGTCCGGATTAACAATGCTCCAAAATTCGTTAGCAGTTTTATCCATTGATGTTTCCCAGAAAGTGACATTTGTGTGTATAGCAGGAAGAGCTATAGAATTACCGATTAAACTGCTCAGTGCAGACTTAAGATATGGAACTTCAATATTGGCGAACTCGATATTAGTGTGATAAACATTCGTCATCCATACCAGGCAGATAAGAACCTATGTAGTTGAAGTAACTCAATTCACCTATATCTGATAAGAAAAAAAAAAATGCAGGCCAAAAAAAAATAACTTATACATACCACCAATGAACCACCAATCCTACGGCCATAATTGGCTGCTTTTGAAGGCGGAATAATGTTTCTATCTGTGTTATCATTATCAGCGTAATAAGTGCATATTTTCTTTTACAATTAATGATAGAAGATTATTAAAATTAATTGTATTAACTTAATTATAAAAAAGAAATCGTTACATAATAAATATAAATATTAACCTCTAATTCAAACCATTCAAGGTCAATAGACAGAACTGCTACAAAAAACGTTATTTGTAGCACATAGTCGATAATCATGGCAATTGATGTGAAAATGCAGAATTCTTGAATATCAATACTAGTCATTGAAAATAACAGTAACACCAAGAGCCAACATATGAGCACTTTTGTATAAGTATATCCAACTTTTTCAAGACCTAAAAAGGCGAAGCATGTGTTAAAATAAAAAAATTATATATTGAAAAAACTGATTAGAGAATATTCAAATATACTACCTTTGGCGACACGTTCTTTTACATTCAATTGCATGGGAATCGTCGTTACAACATGTATTAAAATAAAT